CAAGAGCAGGGAGACTAGGGAGTAGGTACACAGCCATTTTCGCCTATAGAGAACTGTTGAATAGTAACAGCTGGGGGCCTTTAGTAGACTTTTCCTATTCATGAGCTGATTAAAGTTTAATTGATCTATAGTTTTAGTCACTTGTCACTAGTTAATGCCGGTCAGTGGCAGTTTCTTTGTTTGTATAGCTGTTTACCAGAAAAACCCGTTATATATAAAGCATTGTTGTCTAAATAAAAAACAAATTCTATATTTTCATCAAAATGCACTTTATCAGATAGATGCCATATCGATTCATTTTGTAAACCCTGTACCCGAAGAGCAAAGTAGAAAAAGGCATTTCAAATCTTATCAAATAAATATATTGTCGGAAACGGCTAAGCTCACATCAAGAACACTTGTCTTGTCTCTAGGCAATACAAGTTTATTACATTTTTGAGATTTCCCTCCTCCTCCTTTTTCTGTACAAATATATTTTTTTGTTGCAAGAACATTTTGTACTAGCGTCCGTGTTATTCGAATTTGTTTTCAATCGCTTCAAATCAGAAATTTAAGCCACGAAAATAAAATATTCTATTAATCAGCTGGCTGCCTGTGCTGGTTTTAATGTAAGATAAGCTGTTGCGGTTTTCCAGGAAACTGAAAATGATTGTTTAATTTTACTGAGCGAATGTTTTTTTGTGTTGCATGTCCAAGTTCTTTCAGCTTATGTCGAGTCAATTCGGTTTGTAAATATCCCTTTTCTTGTATTTTTATATATCCAATACTCATATAGTGTAAGCCCTAAAATACCATTTGCACTTGTTTGGTTTCGGTTGATTTTGTGGGTTTTCTTAGATGGATATTGTTTCTCATTCATTTTGCGCTGTCAACACTCGCTAAGCTCCATTAAAGCTTCCCTAATGGCTGTTGGTTGCTTTCACTCGACTATATGGGAGCGCTTTTGGTGTTATAATTAATGTAATTTGGCACACCTTAACGATAAATACATATTTGTATTTGTTTATTTACTGAGACGAAAAGAAAAGCCGATATAAATGCTTAGCACGCGCCACTCGATTATGGTCTTTGTGGTTGGTAATCAATAAGGTTTCGTATTATTTATTTCACATTCCCATTGGCCTGGAATTGTTCATTTTAGGCAGCCTAAGTCCTTTGTGTGCATTGGGCCACAGGCCTTCGATCACGTCGTCCACTCTAAGGCACTTCCCATTGACGTCAGCAACGGGTGAGCTTAATTGTTGGCTCTCAAGATTTCTTGTATCTGCTCTATTTTTTTTTTTGTTTTTGTTTGTTTGTTTCTTCCCCTGCTGTTGTTATTGTAAGAATGCGAATGCAATAATTGAATTGTTTACATTTGTAATACGTGTCTGGGCCATGGCTTTGATTTTAATTAAATTTTGTAAAAATGTGCTTGCGATAACTATAAATATTGTAATTGTGGTAATGGAAAAGTTTAAGGCATATTACAACTAGCTCGCATGGTTTACTAAACTTAAACCGTTTTTGTATTGAAAGTTGACATCATCATCGGCGAACAACTTAGTGTTTTCTTTATTTTTATTGTTTTTAAATGCTCCGCAGGCATATTAATGAATTTTCTTTCATCTGGCACCAAGCACGGCACGTGACGATTGCCGGCATCTATATGTATATAACGGCAACGGCAGTACTCAATTAATAGAACGCAAACTTGTTGAGCACAAACAAATACAAAAAAAGAACATATACGAGTATATACGATATACGAGTATGTATTTTTTAAACACAGCAAGCAAATTGGAAGCCTGACACGCAAAGTTCCATGGCTTTCATCTCAGCAGTGGCACACGGATTGAGGCTTTTTTCAGCCTCAGACAAAAGGAACTCCAACGTTACGAATATTTATATATTCGTGTATATAATATACATACAGACATATACTTAATATATTGAGATTGTGCCAGCTGCCTCATTTAAAAAAGTATCATAAATTGCACTTTATTTGCTTTTGTAATTTCGTCTCATGACATTGAACTTGAAATTCTTTTTGTTTACAAAAATAACATTGCAGGTTTATGCATTTTTATTTTATTTTAAAAAATCTCATGTAAACCAATGTAGTTAAACATTAATATATTTTTTATCGATGGCAATTTTTGTGTGCATATTTCACTTGCATTTCGCATAAAATTAAACCGCCACGTTTTTAAATTAATCAATTATATTTTATTTGATCATACTTTCTTTGCTGGCTTTAATTTAGTGCTTTTTATTATTTGTTTGTGTTATTTTCCTTTCCCTCAATAAGATATGTTTTTAGTGTTTTTATTTGCACCTTTTGACGGAACTTTCAAATGCCATCATTCCTTACGAATCTTGCCAACAATTCTTGCTCTTCATTGTTTCAAAGGAACATTAAAGGAACATCCCTATACCTCTAAGGTTCTGTATAGTTCTCTTGTACGGCGTGTAGGATCGAAGTATATATCCAATACATAAGCAATTTATTCATTTTGCTTATTGTGGCTTAAACTGGGACTCCAACCATCGTTTGCCCGCCCTATTGAAGCAGACTTCTGCCTATTGTTGTTCTGCTTATTCATCTGTAGGTCAAATAAATTATTTTCCTTCTAAATAGATGTACTACTGATTATAAATTATAACAATTAAATGCGTGTTAATAAAAAATCGTGACAGGAAACAGTCTGGTTTGCGATTTAAGTTCCCATGAATGGGTAATGATAATTGGCAGCAAAAATTAATTATATAGTATAGTAGCTTTGATGCAGCCGAAAATAAATGCTTGATTTATGCCGTTTTCATTTGATTCAATTCCAATCAATTTGGTGAAATTCAAGTATCGTCACAAGTCGAACATTTTTTTAAATCTATGCACATGTATGTATGTGTGTGTGCGTAATGCGTTTTAGTAATTTGCGCTAGAAATAAATCAAATTATAAAATAATAAGAATTAATTGTAATGACAAACATGTGCGGAGAGTTGTTATAAAAATGTACACCTAAAATCTGTTTTGATTTATTTATAAATTTGAGATTCAAGCAAATTTATTCGCATGTCAACATACAAATCACACATACGCCCTAGTGTACGTTCGTAGCCGACTGCCAACTAGCTACATACTTGTATGTATGTATGAATATGAGAAGAGAGCGCGATGTTGGCGGAATGAATATTGGCAATTTGGGAATGATAGCAGCAATGTTGTGTCTCGGGGCCGGTAATTGTTAATTTGCCATGTTTGTGGCCATTATTTGCGTAAGCGTTATCTGTAGAAAATTCGCACCTTTACTCCACATAATACACACAGAGTCAACACACGTCAGGAGACAACAACGGGACGGGCTGGCTGGCTGGCTGGCTGGCTGGCAAGTGCTTGTCGATCGTCACGACGTCAACAACAACAACCATTATGGTCGAAAAGGTGGCACTGCGCAACCGCTCTCTCGCGCGCCACACATCAGTCTCTCTTTCTCTCTCCGTATCTACCGTCCCCAAGATTTTCGCATATAATTTCTGAGGTCGCCTGTGAAATAAATTTAATAGTAATTCGGCGGGCGCTAAGAAAGCAACGTTCTGTCCTCAATAGCGGCGGCAAAACAATAATAATAATTCCAGTGCTATAAAAAAGACTTAAGTTCCCTTTGCCAAAACGATATCGTTAAGAAGGGGAAAATGCAATTTTATAAAATTTTGATTGTCCACAAATTGTGAAAGCAGACAAATTTTTTGTGAAATTTAAGGAATAAATACTGCAATTGATTTTAATAAAAATCAATTGATGCAAAACTAAAGTTTGAAAAAATTATTAATAAAGAAAGCCTACAATTGGAAATCAATTATACAATCAACAATAATATTGTGATATTATTTAGAGGGCTGTGAACATTTTTAAGCTCATATCAACACAGTTTGTGATAATTTAGTATTAGAAACATTTGACTGATTAGCATACAAAAATATATAAATACAATTTATATATATACATATGTCACCTTAGAAAACCAAATTTTGCTGATTTTATCGTAACAATGACACCCCGACTTTTAACATACTTTCTGGTAAATATATTTAATATATTTAAGTTAAATATACTTTTAAAAATTTTACATAAATAATGGTGCTATATTATCGTAATATATTAATAAAATATATTATCATGAAATATTATTTTTAAAAATTCCTTATCACCTTCGGGGATTGATAATTAAATGTATTTATCAATCAGACAAGTGTCAAAACAATCAAGTATATACAAAATATTTTCGGAACTCTCTGCTTTGAGTTCCTTGAATGTGTGTGTGTAAATAAAATTAATTTAGTGGGGGCTTGACTTTTAAAAAAAGTTTTTTCATAAATTTTCTGAAAAGAAATATTTTTGATCTCAATGAGCTCGATTAAGGGCTAAATATTTTTTGGTGTTTAATGCCTGACATGACATGACTTAGCAAAACATTGTTCTATCAATACGAGCGCTAATTCATACGTATGTACATATGTATGTACATGTGCATGTATGTATAGGCATGTGTATTAATCATACAAAGCGTTGAGCTGCGTGCCACTGACGCGATCGTAGACATTTATTAACCCATTTAATTGTGTGTACGTGTACGGCCGACATGCGGCAAATGACATTTTGAAATTGTTTAATTATTTATAATTTAGTGCAAATTTTTAAAACTCACACGCACACACAGACACATACATAGCGGGCCCAATCGACAGCAGATGCGGCAAAGTTATTCAATTAGTGTGAGGCGTCAAAGAAATTTGCGGAAAGCAGTTGCAACATGTGACTCGTGATTTGAGTCTCGAGACTCGTTGCAATTAATCGTCCAAAGTACAACATGGCGTATGAGTAACGCGAGGGGGCTTTGAAAAAACTGTTGCATAATAATAGAACTAATAGAAATATTTTCATAATATATGTAGTTGAAATGAGCGACTATAATACTAACTATTGTTATTTTTCTCTTCGTATTTATTTAATTGCAGTGCGGCATGCGCCATCCCACAACTGGCCTTAACGAAGACGACTTGAGTCGTCTCACAGGTTCATCCTCATCATCGTCGACCGCCTCGTGCGGCAGCTCAGCTTCATCAAATTCCTCGTCATCGTCGTCGTCTTCCACTCCCGCGGCGGACCACAAAGACACCCTAAACGACGTTCATCAGCATCATGTAGTCCATCCATTGAATACGTCGCAGAGTCCAGAGAAGACTCCTGCGACTCCGGCTACTACATTGCATGAGAAGAATACACTGAATAACTCACAGACAGCTTCGACGCCACATTTCACATCCACCTACCTACCCGAAATCATCAATCCACTTGAATGGCAAAAATCGCGTAAGCGCAAGGAGCGTCTAGACAGCAGCTCGACAGGAGCTACACAGGATCGTAAGCTGCAGCGTTCTAACAGCGAGGAGCTGCTGACAGAGGCCAACATCAATAATAGTGTCCAGAATGCGGAAGCCTCCCAGCCAGCCGCTAAGACCAACTGCGAGGTCATAAGACGCGTCTCATCCGAGGACTTCAAGCGCACGGCCAGCTATGCCAGCTACCGTCAGGAGTTTGAGCGAGAGGAGGCAGCAGAGCAGCAAGGCTCGGAAAACAATGCAGCCTTGGCCAATTTATTGCAGTCAGCGGAATCACCTCCGTCGGCACCTTCGCTGCCGCCTCCTCTCAATGGCACTGGCGAAGTAACCAAGGATCTAACCTGCCGCACTCGCTTTGAAACCAGCCCGGCTCGCTCCTACCGCCACTCTCCAGTGCGCGGAGGCCCAAATGGTAATGGCCGTCATCGCGACAGCGACGACAGCGAGTGCGAGCATGAGCGGAGACGCAGCAGTGAGCGATTCTGCAAGACGCGCCAGCCACCTGGCCGTAAATCAGGCGTTACAAAGAAGGGCGGCAGTATTGGGTCAGCAGTTAGCCGGTATTTGCCCTCGAAGCGTGGAGATGAGAGCGCCTATAAATACGATTTGTCGGCTTTGAAATACGAGCGCAGAGGTTTCATTAGCAGCAAGAAACATCAGCAGCAGCAACAACAGTCGCAGACTGCTGGCAGCGATCACAACGACAACAATCTGATTGATTTTCATCAGCAACAACAGCAACAACAACAACAGCAGCAGCAGACGCAGCTAAAGCGCAGCTCCAACATCTCGCCAACACCGACCACCTCCTCCTCGGCAGGTAGTGATGATACCACGCCAACGCCCACATCTGCGCAGCCAATTAAAATGAAGGCACCACATCGTCACAATGTCGACTTCACCTCTGCGCAGGAGTCGCTGCCTTGGGAGCGTGTCAATGACGAGCCGGCCCCAGTGCTCAGTCGTCGCTATGCCCACTCCCGTCATCATGCCGTCGACAGCATCGACGCGGCCGCCCAGCTTGCCAAGGTGATGCCCTATCCACAACAGCTGCCCAAGCAGGCCAGCGTGCAGCTGATGAATGAGGACATGGATTGTTTGGAGCCGATGGATGCGGTCCGCGCTTTCAGTTCACTGGAGAACATGCGCACGCGGGACGTTATGCAGCAAGTGTTGCCTGCCATGATGGCCTTCCAAACGCCCGAGGAGCGCCTGAAGGTGATCAACCGACGAGTGACCGTACTGAAGAAGAAGCTCGTGCAGCTGGAGGAGTCGCTGGAGCAGCGTCTGGGCTATCGTCCCTCGCAGGCGGAGCGTCTAAATGATAAATACATTAAGAATGTGCTCGCCGAGCTGAGCAAGCTGCGCAAAGAGCGTCACGAGCTCAAGACTGATCCCCTGGCGACGTTGGGTCGCAAAGTTGGAGGTGGCGGCGCCTGCGGCCAGGAGGCTGCTAAGAAGTTAGAAAAAATGAAGGCGACTCTCAACGAAATCGAGCAGGTAACAACCAAAGCTACCACCACATAATATGTACATTCATTTATCATTCAGTTGTTGATGTCGACCATCACATGCCTCCACCATGCTTCCCATAAAAATGGCGTCAAACGCTTTATGGGGTTTGAGAAATTAGCGAGCCCGCAGACGTCAGCGACCAGACGTCGAAACTGTGCTTTTGTCTGTCCATTTGCACTGATCAACATGTTGTTTGGAATATCAAGCGAGTTCAAACTGGATAGTATTGCTTTATGGCAATGTTTTGGAAATGTAACAAGAGCGTTAGATAAACGAGGGTTTCAGTCTTTATTAAAATCCTTGGCAGGATGTTTAGTTAGCGCGTATTTTCAACAGAAAATACAAAATGTTTTGCTCTCATATTTGTCAAAAAGCGCTGGAATGTTTATTTCCTTTAAAATAATAAACTCTTTAGGTTTTTTTTTTATAAACAGCAAACGTCCAAGGAATAAAAATCCTCTCTGTTGAGTTTTTTCGGAACATCGCAAATACTTATTAACAATTTGTTGTGTAGTGTTTCTTGTTGTTGTTGGGATGAGTCGATTCTTAAAACAAAAACATAAAATAATGTGAGGCACTCAACAGCTGAAGCCCTTTTGTGACAGACGCAACAAACAATTTGCAAAAATAAATATATACAATATATATGAATAGTTGAACTGCTGCCAAAATCAGAGCAGGGTATTATGTACGAGTATCACATAAATGCCATTTCTGTATATAGTATGTAAATACATACATATATGTATTTGTTTATTTTCCTGACTACGTTCCCTCATATTTATGGGCTTGAAAAAAGAAACAGCAAAAACGAACTCAATGCCACAGACGTAGTTGTATGCATGTATTTACAATTTGCGAATCGGAAATAAATTTTTGTCAGGCCATAAATTCGGGTAAAATATAGTACTTACTTATAAACGTTGCCTAAAAGCGAGCTACACAAACCTCTAGTTTCGCTTATCGTTGATTAATTGCTTTGTTTACAATTTCCTTTTATCTACACATGTACAATACATAAGCCCATCAATTTGGCATTATGTCGGCTTCTATGGCCGACTTAATTAGAATTTTATTTCACAATTTTCTCACCATATTCAAAACATCTTTTATGGCTGCGCAGTTCGGGTTTCGGACAGATTGTGTACTATTTTTGCAACATCAGAAAAACATAGTTAATACTCGAGATAAATCAATCAATAATAAATTGATAGCCGCTTTAGGGGTGGGGGAGACGGGTTTTAAGCTATTTGGCTTGATGCACTTGTCGTTTTTGTTGTAATCCATTTAGGATTTGTCTTGCCAAACAACACCATATTGCTCCAAGTTGGTGAGCACCCAAGTACAAAATAAGTACGTCTGTCCCAGAACTCAGCTCGCCATTTCCCTATCAGTGTCGTCTATCCCCAACTTGTGGCCCATTAATGTTGATTGATTGCTGCCAAAAAGGCATTTAAGTGGATAGATAGATAAGGCACAAACATATAGCTGCGTCGCTTTTTTCTCTCACGTGACATTTTCACAAAATAGGTCGCAGTTTTGCATAAATTGCGCATTTGTTAAAGCACAGGTGTTCCATGTAGCCTGACTTGTTGCTTAATGGGTTTCTATTCTTATATAAATTACAGAATCTCAATGAGAAACGCACGCAAGCCCAACGCTCGGAATCGCTTGAGGAGCTGACGCCAGACCAGTTGGTACAGGAAAAGAGTGCCGTGCAGCATGGCCTGCTCTATTTTGAATCCCTATACGGACATCCCATCACTAAGGAGGAGCGCGATGCGGCGCGCCCCCTTTACGAGCGCTATCGTCAGCTGAAGCGCATGGTTTCACGCACCGTCATGTTTGGTGGCGGCGCCGGAATTCCCGAGCTGCCCACCATATTGGAACACGAGGCCATGGTATTCGAGTCAACGCCTCTGCAGTACTCATCAAACAACAGCACTGAGACCACAAATTCACCCAGCGACTCTATGGCGCCAAATACCCTTACCCATAATGCTTCCTCGGATGAGTCAACGACCACCACCACCACAACAACCACCGCACCACCAGTTGAACAAGTCGAGGCAGCAGCCAGCGAGAATATTAGTGCGTTGAGTCTGGACCAGTTGTGGGAGCAGCTGGAGCGTGTGCGTGATGAGAAGACGCTTTTGAAGGCCACCATACGGGAGTACGAGTCCATATTCGAGGAGCAGAATGGCCGCAAGATGCTAAAGAATGATCGCAAATCGCTCGAAACGGAGACTTATGCCCAGTACAAGGAGAAGAAGGCCAAGGTACGGCTGCTCCAAGCGCTAATCAAGAAACACATCGGGCATTAAATGAGAAAAATATATTACGAGTCACCATCAAGTTTGTTTCACATTCATGCCACAAATATTTATTTCATACCCTACACAAACAAATATGTTTATTCTCTTAAGTATGGATAAAAAGAGAAAATATAAATAAAAAAACAAGTAGTTTTTAGATTTACCATATATTCTATAATGATACATTTTATGAATATTGTTGATTCCTTATAGTTTTTTAAAAACATAAAAAACAATTATTATACCAATAATAAATGAAAAAATATGAAGAAGCTATGAGCATACCACATATGTATTTGATCACTTTGATCGACAAAAACTTGATTCATTTATTTTCGGCGCATATGCATACATACGTATATCATAATATATAATACATACATACTCGTACATACACGCAAACTTTATCAAGACTTCCACATGGAATTGATGTTTAATGTGTAACTGAGAATTAATCAAGTTTGTGAATGTTCATAATATTATTAGTCCCGCCCTTGTGCTCTATATCGTCATTGATGTTAAAAAATGAATTTGCAAATTGAAGTTAATTGGAATTTAAATTGGTTGCTGCACTCTTCCCTATTTTCGCCTCGAATTACGTTTCGTTCGATCATTCTTTTCTATGCGACTGACACAATATTGAAATTATTTCAAAATAGCAGCTACTCGTACTTATGTAATGTATTCACATCCAATATTTATAAATGTTGTCGGTCTATGCATCCGTATTTGTTCATCAATACACATCTTAAGCAGGGACACATATGTATGTCGTTCTCATGTAGATTTTAGTGTTACATTGCTACCGATATATCCGAATTTTCAACCAATCTATCAGATCAGACAAAATGAAGAGCCAATATTGAAAGAAATACTTTTTGTAGGCACAACGTTCGTTTCTGTTTTATGTGTAACGGGCAATTCGGTTTATTGATCGTATGTATGTGTATACTCAAAACAATATATACCTATTTATTTACAAATATGTACCAAAAGCAGACATACATAGATATTGTGTATTTATGAGCATGCATATATATTTACATATATGGATATTTAATGAATATATAAGTTCAACATCTACAACAAATATTCTTATACATATAATGGCATGAGGCAGAAATGTGAAAGAAAAACGGAAAGGAAAAGATTCGTAGCATTACAAAACCTATTAAATGAATGTCTATCATATGGAATTCAAATAAAATATATCACGTTATATAAACACGTAGCAAACTCAAGCTTTTTTATTCAAATACGTTTTTAATAAAACAAATTAATTTGATTCAGTCCCTCCGAAACCCGTTGATGATCGGGTATTAGAAAAACCTTTTCAGTTTCTAATTTGGATCCAATATCCCTATCATTTTTGTCCCCTAGTCTAGTGCTGTGCGAAACATCGATGTAAAATCGATACATCGATGTTTTGCAATTTTTTCCAAACATCGATGTTTTATTTCCGATTTTCGATGTTTTTTACTACTTGTAAAAAAAACGCGGGAAAAGCTAGGTAAGTAAAAGCTAAAATTTGCATTTTTTAATAAAACCCCTAATATAATACAGAACAAATTACTAATATTATAGATGGATATTGGTGTTGGCAGTGCTTGGAAATGGAGAAGTTTTTAAAAGAATCTAATAGCAAAGGTAATTTTTATCTTGCAGCTGCAGTCTTATTTGTGTATGTGTATTTTCATTATTTGTACATATAATAATATGTTGTTCTATGTACTTAGATTGTAATGCAAACTCAACCGAAATGGATAAGGAACCTGAGGAAGGTGGTCCTAATAAACGGGTAAAATATGGAAAGTCAACTGTGTGGAATTTCTTCAATAAGTCTAAGGATGGCAAGTCTGCTAAATGCTTTAAATGTGGTAAAGTGTATCAAACATGTGGCAATACCACCAATTTATCTGCACATTTTAAACGAATGCATCCTACGTTGACAATTGAAGAACTACCAACGACCTCAAGCTCTATTTTGTCGTTTATAGACAAAAAATACGAAGCATTTTATTTACAGATCTCAAATGATAAGTCCCTTAAGGCATGTATATGCAAGTACCTCTGCGTTCCTGCAACGTCCACTGAAAGTGAGCGCATGTTCAGCAAAGCTGGACTTATAGTTAGCGAAAAAAGGAGTTCGCTTAAATCAAAGAATGTAGACATGCTCATTTTTATTAACAAAAATGAGTGGATCTCAAATAATTAGTCATTAATTATATTTTTTATGTTATGCTTTTCATTTTGTTATACTTATATTCTTTCAATTTATGAAAATATTGTTTTGTTGTTTTATCTGAAATTAGTCATTAACTATAATTTTTTATGTTATACTTTCTCTTGTTTTTAGTTTATTATTTGAAGTTATAAAAATATCGTTTGTTTTAAACCCTTTTTTTCCTTTATAAACAGACAAATCAAAACGAAGTGCCCTATGATGTATATTCATTTTTTTTTGAAAATTTGTTAGTGGAATTTCGATGCATCGATACATCGATGTTCTTCCTCCAAAAAAATCGAAACATCGATGTTGGCAAACATCGATGTTTCCCCAGCTCTACCCTAGTCTAATAAATGTTCGCTTCTACATATGACAGCTACATGCCGCAATGGTTGGTATGGACATATTAGTTTTATCGCGATAGCTTAAACAAGAAAGACGGTCAAATATGACCCGGAAATTGGTTTTAACTTTCAAAATCTTTATTTAATCAATGCAATGCATACAAAGCTTTTGTCAATCCTCAAAGGAGCTCGAACATTTTTTTTCTGGACTGGTGTATTGAATAGGCAGGCAGAAGTCACACGGAGTGAATACGGTGGTTTTGGAACGATATGCGTCTTACGGAAGGAATTCACAATTCACAAGCACCACGATAATCGAAATAATATCCAGTTTTATCTTCCAGTGAAGGGTATAAGAAATCAGAGCATTTCCCTTTGCTCACCTTTAATGGCAGTGAAAAGGTGAAGAACGCAGATGAATCCATTTCCAAGCCAAAGTTTCTGCAAAGATAAATTACTGTAAAATATCAAGTTGTACTTATGTATATGAGTTGTCTAAGATTTGAACTGCATAAATATCAGTAAAGCAAACCAATCGACATTATTCTTCCGACTGGGGCGGTATATTTTGACATCATATAAAAACAAATCTAAGCTATACTGTTAAGCCAACCAGATGGTGAAACCAACCTTGATTATAGCAGGAAATGACTTTGTCCAGCATCAAATATTTCACCTGAAATAATAAAATGGACAAAGGTTAACATTTACACGCAAAAAGAATATTTTTATGTATGCATTCAAAAATCAGCATATGGATCTCATCAACGCTTTTTATGACAGGGATAACTGTTATGTGTTCATCACATTGAAAAAAATATTTCTAAATTTAGTTAAAATACCCACCTTTTAGAACAACTATTTTATAAGAATCCCTTATCGTCTCAGCATTATTCAAGTAGCCTGAAATAGTAAAAATATATGGTAAAAATTCTTGCTTACAAATAATTTTTTAGTGATGCAATAAAATATCAGCAAATCAAAATCATCAAATATGTTTATGACAGGGATAACTGGCAATAAATATAATTTTCATCACAACGAATATATTTTATTAATAGGTTTAATAGTAGTGCCTACCTTTGTCACCATTTTGGACAAATAATCATTTTGTATACGGAAAGCTTAAAATTGAAAACCATCTTTGGGTGCATTCTCAAGAGATTTGCATAGAAGCTTTTATAATTGCTGACTTGTACGGTCCAAGAAGCACATTTTCTTCATACGTGGTACAATCTGCAAAATGAAAAACTTTTTATACTAATTGTTGCAATTCAAGTGCATCAGCACTGATTTTATTTATTCAGGCACAATGAATTCTTCAAAATAAGAATCAGTTATATGCTTGTCTTTTAAATTTCCTTCATCAGTGAAATAAAAACTTGAGTTTTGGAGAACGGAATTACAATTGATAAATTTATTTAAACTATTTGCTTAAAACCAGAAGGTGAAACAAACCTTAATTATAGTCGGTGTTTCCTACATGCCTAAGGATTGCTCGGCACCTGAAATGGGGGAAAATCGTTTAGATTAGTATTCGTGGGTACAGACACGTTGTAATGAGCTATGTTTTGAAATATCAGAACAACAAATCATCAAAAATAGTTATGAAAGGGATAACTGGCAATAAATGTAATGTTCATCATGTCTTATAATTATAAATGAATTAGAAAATTGGATGTTTTATTTTATTAAAATTTCTTATTTAAATGAATTCTCAAGATATTAGTATTTATACATACCATTGATTCGTCGATAAACACAGGCCCATTTTATTTTTTCGTGGTTCGATCTGCAAAATTGAGAATTTATTATAATAAATTGTTGCAGCGACATTTTTTTTAAATTTATTATTTTGTAGTCAGACAGAAGAAAATCTTCAAAATATGATTCAGCTATATGCTTGTCTATTCAAAATCGGCATCATTCAAAAATTTAAGGCCAAAAAAACCACTATCAATTATTGGATTGTTGCTTACCTTACGCGTCTCCATTTTAGCCCACGCGGTTATTGCAACTATTGAAAAAAAAAGAAGGAAAACATTCGTTAAATGCAATCAAAACTAAGATAAATAAGCAATGATAATTAATTAAATATCAGCAAGCTAAACCGATCGACATTATTCATCCGACTGGGGCGGTATTAAAGAACATCATGAAGTTGAGTTTACAAAGATAAAAATATTGGAAATAAAAACTAACCTAACTTTGGCAGCCATCAGTAAAGGAACACGTGTATTCGGTTGCCGCCACACGTAATTTGTATTGTACATCGCCTTTATATGTTCTATACCGGCATTTCCTTTGGTTTCCATTTTTTCTGTAATGGCATACATACGTACATACATATATTACAATTAGTTGCGACCAAAATGAAAGAAAACGTGCGTTAACTTGTAGTTTTTCAGATATATGTTTAACCAATCAACACAGTTTTTCAGACTGGGGCGGTATTTCAGAACATCATTAAAGTATTTGAAGACATGTAAGTATAAATTACAGGGGGGGAAAACTAACCTTACTTTTGCTGCCACCACCATAGGAACACGTGCACATGGCTGCTGCCACACGGAATTTTCGCTGTACAGTACGATACCGGTATTTACTTCGGTTCACATTTATCCTGTAAAGACATGTGTTATAATTAGTTGCAATTAAAATTAAAGAAAACGTGCTTTTAGTTATACGTACATACATACACACGTACATGTGTATGTATTACTCAGTTATATGTAAAACCAATCAACACAGTTTTCAGACTGGGGCGGTATAAAAAAACATCACTGAAGCACATGCTGGGGTATTATTGAATAAGATCTAGCAAACTTACCGCTTTATTATAAACGTTTAATTCAATAATTCTATTCATCCTCTCTATGAGCAGCATTTCCCAACCTTCTTCGGTGATATAGAAAACGAAATGGACGAGCTACAGCAGTAGCGATGTGTACTTGAAGTGTTTTTAGTCGATACTTTTATTCCTCCCAATCGATATTTTTGCTTTACGTTGCCACATGTTCCGTAAAGGGCAGTGTTGCTTTGATTTAAAAAAAACAAGCAATCAAACGCGTAATGGCGCGTATATACAAAAACAGCTGTTGCGTTCGTAGAAGTATTTATTTTTAATAATTTTGCAATTAGAGATAAATTAAAAATAGGCATAATGGAAAAAGACGTGGAGGGGAAATCACCAAAAATGGCCTATGTTACATTTGATGAGCTGCTGCATATGGATTTTGATAAAATTGAAGCTTCTGTTTCAAAGAATTTGGCACTTAACATATGCATCCGAAGTCTTGATTTAAATAAGGCTCCGGTGGATGTTTTAAGCTTATGGTTAAAAAAACTGCTAAGGGCTTATATAAGCGCACCGCATTGTGATTTAACCGACGTTTTCAAGTCTATGCACGAGTGGTTTCAAAGGCTAGTGAGTAACACTTCTCAGTTTCTCAGTTGGATAAATTAATAACAAGTTAACCTTCTCTTTTAGAAAGAACAAGCTGTCTATGGGGATATTATTAATATACTAGTAGATGCAATAGAATTTGCCGATTGGGCTAATAATCTGCTGCTAAATGCTGAGGAGACCTTGGTGCATACTGCATCCTATTTTCTGCTAGCCATCGTACATTGCATTCTGCAGTTTTACGTAGAACATAATATTCAGGACTTGAAAGAGCATTTGCCGAATGCAATCAAATTACACTTGCTAGTGATTTCCTTACTAAAAGAAGTTACAGCACGTTCTGTGAAAGTAAACGATGGTCGAGTTACTATTTGTAAGTTTATTCTGCTATTTTATTTAAGTTTGTATATATTTTCATATTCTTTTTATTGGCTGTACCTCGTCTTGCAGTAATCAGGCAGTTATGCGAAATCTGCGAATTATTGAGCACGAAAATCATTCACATGACTGTGTTTCTTAAAACCAGTAAGATCATGACCTATATCTGCATTCATTACTGCCGGCTCAGTGAATATGAAAGTAATCCCGAATGGTTAAACGAAACACAACTACACTTGTGCGACACAGTGCTTAATAACTTAGAAACTATTAAAAAGAAGGTAAGCCCCGATAATGGTTGTATAATGGTAAATTACAATTTTTTCTCTTAGGAAACGCTGACTGTTTCACTTGAGAAAGTTGAAGATTTTTTGAAAATGACTCAGGCGTATTTAATAATGCTACACAACATCTTTAGCACTGGTGTTAAGAATGTGGAGGAATCCGTTTTGGAAGTCCTTTTAGCGGTATTAATGGGCGGAGATACGTATGTTTATTTGTCTATGTACTCTGTGTGTTGTATAATTATTAGTTATACTTTGTAGCAAACCAACGCATGATCTGGGAAAAGACGTTCCAGCACTTTTGAATAAGTTTGTTCGATTGCCTACAATGAAAATTTTTGAGCTGATCTATCACGTTGGCGCGTTTCAAAAGGTATGCATTTATAAGAAGTTCCATAAATATTATTGTATATAAATCACTGGCCTCATTTTAGTACATGCTTGATGCCTTATCTCAGCCAGAGGCGTCTACGATTGATTTTTTTCAACTATGTTTGGATTTTGTCACTGTCGTCATAATGGACGATAAAATAATAACGCCATCTACTTGTGAGACTGTGCAGATGGTATTTGAATTTGTTTTTAAAGGTGAGTTTTGCCTAGCTGTGTTTACATACGCTAATTCTTATTTTAATTCATGCAAACAGACGAGTGGCAATTCATAAATCGAAAGCACTATGATCGCATCATTGAGGCATATGGCACATTGGTTTATGTAGGAAACTCTTTGCAATTGTGCAACTATTTTTGCGCTGGAGTTTTTCAAGACGATGTCCTCAAATCGCAAGCTTCTGCCGATGTCCTGCTTTGCAGCTTCAAAATAGTGGAGGCGAACAATGGTTGGAACAATGGTAGAATGCAGCCAGCCATTGATTATTGGAACCAATGCAATAATTCCTATGCAATGTGGTCACACAATTGCAGTCAGTGGCATGTGCGACGCATTTTGAATTATTTGTATACAATCAAAATATCAAATCAACTGCCAATGTTCAATTTAAACAACTATAGGCTTCTCCGATGCATCTCGGCAGGCAGTGACGGTGGAAAAAGTAAAGTGTTGGTGGAAGGTCTACAAAAACTATCAATGACGCCAATAAAACAAGCTGAACAATATTATGAGATGGTGAATAATTTTAACGTTCTCTTTAGAGCCTTCCTACTAACTCACCTCAAATTTTTATTACAGATTGCACTTGTAGAGATTTTAATTGTGCACAAAATTGGGCAGAGGGACTTAAAGATCTTGGAACAATCGTTAATTAAACTTAAGAGTCTTCTGGAAAGCGACAAGTGCATACTTCTGATTAATGTGATTGCAAAGCTGGCTTTGAAATCGAATCGATTCACGCAGTTTGGCGTGTTGCAAAAATTTGCACGCACTGCTGCTGTTGCAAGCTGGCATTTTCAAAAGTTTATCCATAAATGCCGACATTCTGACAATGAAACCCTAAAGTCTTTGTCCTCAGATGTGGTTGTGCAAAAAACTGACTGCACTACATTGTTGGACACACTGCTTAATTCGGAAAACCGTTGCTACAATAACAAAGGCGTAGACAATATGTACAGAAAATTATGCTATACGCGGAGTCGAAACCATCGCTGCAACAAATCCTGTTTAAAGCGCAAGCGGGACACCATTACACCCAAACATATAATCAATGAGCTTTACACCAAATCGGTGGAGCTCGATCAGTGCGACGCACAGTCTCTCGATCGCATGGATAAGGAGAAGCTGAAAAGCATAATAACCAATATTCAACGATATTTGCAAGAGTAAATTTTAGTATATTTATATATGTATATGTATGTGTTATGTAGTATTAGGCGTTAAAAAAATAATCAGACACATCCTCTCGATTTACTCCGACAGCGTCCAATAACTTATTCGATATGTCATCCAATTCGTCGGGTTGAATTAGGATGCCTGGTAGAAGAGAATCTTGTTAGTACAAACAAATAACGTCAAATGCGTATACAATCCTCCCAACTAACCCGCAAAAGAAGCCGATGTGAAGCTCACTATACTGCCAGCAAAAAATGCGCGTACAGCAACTCGAGTTATGTCAGGCCGGCGTGAGGGAGCCATTGCACTCAGTCCAGCAATCATAATGCCCAATGAGCCAGGATTGGCGAATCCACAAAGAGCAAATGTAGCAATTCCAGCACTGCGTGCCTGTTGAATACAAAAACAATTATTTTCATATTCGAACCCTTCCAGGGTACATGCTACTAACACCAATCTCGTTGTTCCTTATCATGGCGCCTAAATCCATGTAGCCTAGGAACTCGTTTATTAGCGTTTTCTTTGCAACGACCAGTGCAACTTTTTCGCAATCATGCCATGGTACACCCATGACAAAGACAAGGGGTATAAACGCTTGGCTTAGGAGCCACAGAAAGGTGACGTCCTCTTTGCCACCCAATTGAAACAACCACTCTACGACGGCGTTGAAGAACGCTATGATGGCTATAAAGGCAATTATATTCGAAACAATTCCGAGCACAATTGCAACACCATTTGCAGCCCCACTGGCAGCTGCGTCCAATATGGAAGAGTCTGTTCTGCAATAAATAATGCTAGTCGCTACACTGAATAGCTAATAATAAAATGCGCTTACGATTTTTCCAGTTGAATATTGTCTGCCTTGGTCTGAGACTCTTCAATTTCGGGTAAAAATAGCTTAGCAAAGGCCAAGGAGGCAGGTGCCGCCATAACGCTGGCAGTTATCAAATATGCTGGGGACGCTCCAAAGGATATATAGGCTCCCAGAACAGTGCCAGCCACGGTGGCATACCCAGATACACATATCGTATGTAGTTCGCTCTTAGTCAAACGTTCAATATAGGGCCGAATGATCAGCGGACTCTCTGTCATGCCCAAGAATACATTTCCGGCCGCATTGACGCTCTCACACACTGTCGTTCCAATCAGCGCCTGTAGGAGCCAGCCGAATACGTTCAGGATGAACTGCATCACACCCAAATAATAAAGGCACGAGGTGACCACACTGAAAAAGAATATGACTGCCAAGATGGCAAACGCGAAGACAAATTCATTGCAAATTCGATCGCCGTATACAAAGCGCGCGCCATGTGATGTGAACCCCAAAAAGACTGCCACTTTATCCCCAGCACACTGAAAGATAGATCTTCCAAAGGACCAACGCACACAGAAGAGACATAGAAGGAACTGAGCTAGTATCCCAGTCACAACAATCCGCCATGGTATTTCTTTCCGATACGGACACACGGCAAATCCAAAAAGTATGAATAGTATTGGTCCTATCACACCAATTAACTTAGCCGGCTCCTTCCTGGACTCGAACCCCAACACCGCGGCCATAAATAGTATAACAAGTATCAGCATCACGATTGACACCACTCTGGAAATATTTCGAAACAGGAAATAAAGACATGCATTCAAGAAACGAGCTCAAACGTTATCTTCGTCGGTGCCGAAGCTATATACAATATACCTTTCAATGTGTTTTACAACAAAACTTTTTAACTTCAAATATAACCAATTCTGGCTATCTAGTAACAGATACTATCTTATATTTTTTAAAATGATTTCTATACTTTTTTACATATTGCCAAGGGCGTACGCTGGGGGGGGGGGGGGGAGGGGTCACTTATGACGCACTATCTCGGCTTAAAATGGAACTGAGTTGGTTTTTTTTTTTAGTTTTTACACTGATTATATGCATAAATAATTTTTTAAATCATCGTGCATTATTTAATCAACATTTTAATTTTTTAGCCCCCATCCTTTTGTAAAAGCTGCGTACGCCCTTGCATATTGCTGAGACATGCTTGAGGTAAAAGTTTGTCATCGCAATAGATTTGAAACTGAGAAAGGAGGTAGAATTAAAACGGGCAGACGGACGGGCGGACATCACAATTTCGATTCGTCATTTCTTGCTGATCCAACATGTACATTTAACATACTATATGTTATTCGTGTATTTACATTTCTATCTAACAACCAGTGTTATAGACTTACACACCAAAAACAATATACAATGTACGCTTACACTTTTGAGGGAAGGGTATACAAAAAGTATACAAAAGAAAATATAAAATATTTTCTACATCTTTAGGGTATTTTTTTGTTTGCCTTTACCCTGAGAGTATACTTAACGTACAATTGCCGACTGAACTCCATCCATTTGTCGATGATGGGTTCGATGGTGTTGTCATATAGCTTTTGTCCAATGTACGGCTTGAAAAGGAAATAGTAAATAGTAAAGATATAGAAAATTGTAAATATCAAAGTGAGAAAGCCAAAGCCTGTGCACCAATTAATTTTACAAAGTATGTGGGGCTGGAAATTTGTTATATTCGCGATCGTTTCGTTATCCTTATCGCTTACGATTACGCTTTCGCCTTCGCTTTCATCGCGATATTGCCAGCTTTTTGACAAGTCTTTAACTGCCGTTTTGCAATTATCTGATTTCTTGTCTATACAAGTAGGGCAGGAAATATAACTAATAAAACTATATTTTTAAGCTTAAAACTTACCGTAACGAATAAACACGACAGTGCACCAAATAAAATATGATATAAATAATATATGGAATATAATTAGTAGAATTCTTTTGATAAGCTTCTTCCTTGGAGATTCCTCCTCGGGCTCAGTCTCGGTTTCTGTAACTGGCTCTGCCATTGATGACTATTCTAATATGATTTGTATACGTGTATGTGTATGAGTGTTTATACAAAACAATAGTACGAACAAATCTGATGTGAGAATCGAAGGATATCTGTGTATTCAAAGGGCTGCCCATTTTTTTTTGTTAACCTGCCTTGTTTACTAATCTTTATTGGCAGAATTCCCTAAGTGTTAAGAAAGATCGATTATTTGTTTGTTTGTCGATTTTTATAAATATATGTATTTTCAGGATTGTGATTTATATAGCTCTTAGACATTAAAAATATGGTGCTACCCCATTGCTTTTGTGGCGTTTTTCATGGACAATTGTTGTATTATTTTCGCATAGGACTCGCTTTCTTCCTCCTCTTGTATGAGTATACCTGGGAAGAATTTTGGGAAAATCGTACAAAGGGTATTCGCTGCTAGCTTTAAATACAGATACCTACCAGCAAAACTTGCAGATATAAAGCAAACAATGCTGCCTACAATGAAGGCCCGTATGGCGACCGTTGTTATTGATAATCGTCTAGTGGGTGCCATTGCGCTCAGGGAGCCAATCAGAATCCCCAAGGAGCTGGGATTGGCGAAGCCGCAAATGGCAAAAGTGGCAATGCCAGCACTCCGTGCGGTAATTTGATTGTTTTTTATATACTCGCCCAGCCTCTCGTAGGCCACAAACTCGTTGATGATGGTCTTGGTGGCTACCACCTTCGCTATTTTGTCACAGTCCTGGTTAGGAACACCTTAGGGGAAGAAAAAGGCAAGTCCAAGTTTAATGGAATTATTGGAATTCGTTTTTTGGAATGACTTACCCATTGCCCATGCTAGAGGAATAAATAATTTTGAAAAAATCCATTCAAAATCAATGTCTTCAAGCCCTACACGTTCACCCAACCAGTTGACTAAGCCATTCAGGAAAGCAACGAAGGCGATAAAAGCAACAATATTAGCTATAATTCCAAGGACAATTTGTATAGCATTGGTGGCACCATTGGAGGCAGCATCCAGTAGAGATGAGTCGGTACTGTAAATAAAAACGAATTGCACTTTTAAACTACTTTACTTTAATCGTTCCTTGGCAGCTATATGAAGAAATTTCAGATTATGGTGAGGTATAAAATACAATTAAGTACTAAAGTGGATTAAAAGTTTTCAATATTCATAAAAATGTCGTCGATCTTATAAAAACGAAAAAATTTAGCAAGACGCGAAAAATATGAGAACGGTCTCTATACAGATCGGGATTTGAATTTGAAGGTCTTTATCAATCTGGAGTTCCGTTCAATCCAATCGGAATAAAGCTCACATTCAAAATCGATCGTTTATGTTCCCAAGCATGCTACGTATCTATCTTCAGTACTTCAACTATTGAATTGAGTAAGAAAGTATACTACCCATCGACATTCATTAGCATAAAAATTTTGAAATAATAAATAAGTGATTATTTCAAGGTGAAATGCATTTAAATCAAACCCAATGGATTGCCTATCTGCTAAAAAATTCTAAATATGTAATTGTGAGCATTACAAAAAATATTTACTCAGAGGAAGATTATTGCCCCTATTGTTAAGTATTTCATGAAATAATTTTGAACTTTTTGTTGAGTCCAACTAATATGTCAACAAATTTCGGAATACTTACGATTTCTCGAGTTGTATCGAGTCGCTGGACGTTTGACTCTTCTCGGTTTCGGGCATGTAGAGCTTTGCAAAAGCCAGAGCAGCCGGTGCAGCCATTACTGAAGATGTTATCAAATGAGCAGTGGAAGCTCCAAATGACAGATAAGCTGCCAGGACAGTGCCTGAGACTGTACAGAAGCCCGAAACCATAATGGCATGTATCTCGCTATGCGTCAGCTTAACTATGTATGGCCGTATAAGCAATGGGCTCTCGGACATTCCCAGAAAGATATTCGCTGCGGCAATCACGCTCTCGCATACCGTGGTACCCAATATCGACTGCAATATCCATCCGAGCTTCATTACAATCCACTGCATAGCGCCCAAATAATAAAGAACTGAGATGAAGAAGCTGCAAAAGAAGATGACCGGCAGTATGGCAAAGGCGAACACATTTTCATTGATGAGGGTATCGCCAAACACAAATCGGGCGCCATCCGTCGCATAGCCCAGAAAGGTGGCCACCTTATCGCCGAGACATCTAAAAATCGCCCGACCAACTTCCCAGCGTATGCATAAAATCCCAAGGAGGAACTGGCACGTAATGCCTGTAATCACAATGCGCCATTTAATAGCACTGCGTTTTGTCGAGAAGATATAGCCGATGAGGATAAACACGCAGGGAGCCACGAGGGACATCAGTTTTTGTGGCTCATCTCTGGTTTCGAAATAGAGGAAAACCGCAAGACCTGCTAGTAGAAGGCTTATTATAGCTGCTGACACGATGCTGTAATGAGAAAGGTTTTCAAAATATAATCGAAATGGAAACTTCAATGTTTTATAGTATTTACCGCATTCTGCTGATCTTGTGCCATATTCTTGACGCCGGCTGCAGGAATTTCCGGTGCAGTCGCCTGCCCACTGTGGGCTTAAATATGTAGAAGTAGAACAGGCCCAGGTAGATGAAGCCAAACAGAAGCACCAGCATACCATATCCGGTACAAAATTGTATGCCACACACCGTCTCATCAATGAAATATTTGCAATGGTAGTGAGCTATTTGAATAAGCAGGGATAATATTATGATCGGAACTCAAGGATGAGAAATCAGTCACTTACTGAGATCATGATAGTGATAGGTGGCATAGGAAAAGTAACCCACAACGGCAACGTGTATCAGAAATATGAGCAGCCTTCTTACTAAGCGCTTATATTTGCTCTCCGGTTGATCTATCGCATCGAGTTTGCCATCCGACCAGACTTCAGTCATATTGGCGAGTTGAAAATCAGTCTAACAACATAAATGGCATGTTATTTACAAACCGATTTTACTGATGGATATATAGTCTAGCATGTACCTTGTTATTTGCAGGATTTGGTGGTTCTAGTGCATCCATATCCTAAAAGTTGGATAAAATTAAAAGCATAATAATATGGGGATTAAAAAATGAAATCACAAATGGGCAGTTTAATATTAAAACGAAGTGTTAATAGTGCTAAAGGTTTCAGGATGTTGAGTTTTTGATTAATTTGTGTTAAGATTTTAGGTAATTATTAGTAATGATGATAACCAACTCAAAAGCTAGTTTAAAAGTTATCTTTGTCTGCGATTAAGAAATATACTCTCCATTTTATAAAAAATACTCTTTATCTCCATGGTGATGGTCCGCTAACTATATACTCTATTTCGTGCATAGTTTTCAATTCATAATATTGGCATTAAAAAATGCAATCAAAAATGGGCAGTTTTATATTAAAACGAAGTGTTAATAGGGCTAAGGGTTTCATGAGGCTGCGTGTTTGATTAATTTGTGCTAAGATTTTAGGTAAAGAAAAATAGATCATTTAAAATATAGAAGGTGTTCCGTATTTAAGAAGACTGGATGTGCATTTTAAGTATTTATAACCAACTCAAAAGCTAGCTTAAAAGTTATTTTTGTCTGCGCTGAAGAACACTCCACTTTATAACAAATTTTATCTTTATCTCCATGGTGATACTATGTACTCTATTTTGTGCTTAGTTTTTAATTCAATTGTCTGCGCGCTATGATATACAATGTGGTCTACCATTCTCATTTAAGGATGCTGGTAAATTATTACAGATAATTACTAACAGGGTAGCCTTGCGCTATTTAGAACGAATGTACATAAGACACAGCAGACAGGTATAATCAGTGTATTATCAGTTTGTATAAGAACGAAGAACTTCGAGAGTAGAATATCAAAAGAACAACCTAACTAGGTGAACATATTCCCCAATTACTCTAATATTAGTGATTTTCAGAACTTCTGTAATTTGCACATTTTTTAATGCTTTATGGCGTACATTTATTTATTCCAAAAATTTGTCTAAGTCCCAATAAAATGGGTTAAGAAGTCGTTTTAGTGTCCACGCATAAATCACCTTCAAAAGCACTCAGCGTTGTATTTCAGTACTGATTTCTAAAAATAACGCTTATTTTCAGTTAGTAATAGTATGACATGATCATTAATGAAATTGAAAACTAATGTTATTTGTTGGGAGCTGAAAGATTAGGAAGTCCTTATAACATCATAATATACTTGTATTTATGACAATATAACAATACCACTTCAATTAAATCTGTTATAATTCTTATATACATTTATTTTGATATTTCATTTATTCGTACGTACTTGATCCAACTCGTATGAGTTGTTACTAACACCTTTTGACGTTTGTGTGGCCATCTGTAAGGGTACATATTTTATTTTATTGATTATCACAAGTTTTTCCAGCAACTTGATAAGGTAAAAACTATACTGTTCTAATATATTGGTGCAAAATCCATCTTGATGTGGTCATATATACACGTAATCTTTTGGCTGTAATGTGAAGAACACTGGCTTTGGCTCGTTTTGTGTTCAATTGCTTTAGTTTTGGCATTAACTGTTCAAGTGCCCTCGATACGTCAAGCGTTTTTTTTTTTTTATGACTCTTATTTACTGAATCTCTGGGAATTTGATGTCGTTTAACCCGCTGGCCCACTCGAAGTGATAAGCACATGGAGGCACGTTGACTAGTTCTTAACTCTGCGCCACACGTGGGTCGATGTTTGTCGTTTGAAAGTTGTTTTATTGGCGAAATGCTTTTCGTGCTTCATTTTTCTCACATTTTGGCTTCAGTTTAAAGTAATTTAAGAAGAGCATGGCATTATACACTTCATTTGTTTTATAAAAAATATTTCAATTTATTCGTCTTTAATAATTCCATCTCCGCTTCAAAATGTAAGCTCTTTAATATCCTAAGCTTATGTTAGAGCCTTGTCCATTCATTGAATTTTGTGCTGTCTTAATTGTTAATTCGGTAAAAAGTTTTTACAAGTTTTGGCAACATGTTTGACAAATTCGTATGTAACATTCCCTGCTGAATTGCAATCATCCTACTATAAGTATATGGCGATTTAATCTTATGGCCCTTTGAACGCCCTTCATGGCAAGCCTTTATTTTCTTGAGACCGCAGTATTCGATTACCAAAAAAACTTCTATAGATGCCGTTTTGCAGCTTTGGTTTTGTTGTACATTAGAGATTATCGTTTTCTAATCACTTCAAGTGATAACGCAATCTCATTCACGTCAACATCCAGTAATCGGCCATTGAGGAACGTGAGTCAAAGGCCAATAAAAGTTAACACAACTGCCATTGAAAAGATATTGTAAATGATTCAATAGAAATACCAGCCCCCCAGTATTTATAACCATCGGAGTATTCGCTTTTACCGACTAGAAATGAAGCCATAATTTTCGTTTTTATTGCCAGCTTGTTTACTTGAAATATTATACAAGTAAATAACTTTTCAAAAGTATGCTTTTTTTATTTGGGACGTGTGTTTTACTTCGTTTAGTTTTCGTCGTTTTGTTTTTATGGGCTTCATTCAATTTTAAGTACAAGGCGGATTATTTATGAAAATTTTTAGGTATAACGATATCGCACCGAATATCACTTGTGCATATACTTGTACAACCTTTTGTTTTCATTCACTGATATATACTTGTAATTATGAATTGTTTATTTGTTTGGACTTCTCTCAATTAACTGGTTTTTTGTTGACATTCTGAGGTAATTCACCTTTTTTTGTAGCTTTTAATTTACTAGCGGAGCAAACACGTTTATATTTCAAAGCCGCTGCTAATTATAAACCTTGACGCGTGCGTATGTTAAATTGTTAGTTGGTCACTAACGTTTGGTTGCCATTATAGCTGGTTGAAAGCTGGGGCAAGACTAAAACCGAGTGACTGCTTCAAAGGTGTTTATAATGAGTATTTTTTGGCTTTGATGAACGCTACACTGTAAGAAACTTGTATTTCACTTTGAAGACAATAATTAATTCTCATGATGTTCAATTAACAGTTCAGCTAAAAAGTAATTGAAAGCAACGTGCGAAAGATGATAGATAGATAGCTAGATAGATAGATATATAGATAGATAGATAGATAGATAGATAGATAGATAGATAGATAGATAGATAGATAGATAGATAGATAGATAGATAGATAGATAGGTAGGTAGATAGATAGATAGATAGATAGATCGATAGATGGACAGATGAAAAGATATAAAGACTAAACTGCATACTAGACAGTCTAAATATGAACTGTATCAAATGTAATAGGCACTATAAACTAAAACTTAATTACAATCGGCTTACTATATCATACGAGTGACACAGGACCGACCATTTAAAAAAATCTCTATTCGTTCTGTCTTTTTTCTTTTGTTAAAAAACTCTCTTTTATCTTCTTAGGGACGGGATTTTCTTCATCAATACATAAAAGGAGTTGTGGAAGACTGCAAAAAGTATATATGTATAAGTATATATGTACACAAGTATTCTTAATCAGTATGATAAGATGATTCTATATAGATCATATTGTAATTTGATTAGAATTTTCCTTAGGCTTTCTTAGTTTATATGGTTTTTTTTATAATAATTATATATAGTTTTATATTGTCGACAGTCAATTTTGTTGACAAATATAATTAATAAATAAATATCCATACTCATTCGTCTGTATGAGAGCAAGGGTCTCAGGACTTGCAATAACCAAACTCATAAGTATTACGAGCGCCTTGCAATGGCAGAAATCAAAACCTAAATATGTAAGTATGTTTGTAGAATCTCAAAAGTTGAGCTTCTGTGTATGTGTGATGTTTTGCTGTTGTTCTAAATTTATAATAAACTCAATAGAACTTGAATTTTTTTGAGTGTTTTGTGAACGTTGTTAACATGTTTCTCTGCCTTATATATGTACATATAGTATGTATGTACATATAAAATGAAGCTCGCAAACACGCTTGTACAATATACCTTTCGTATTCATATGGTTCGTGGAACGAGTGCGTACAAATTTTTATTTGTATATGAGATAAAGGTATAACGCTCATATAACTCGTCAAATGACGAGCGATAACATGAAATTGCACAATATTTGGATCGCAGTCGAATTCAGAATGATTTTAAAGTACTTGGAGAGAAGCGTTTGTGCTTGAAGTTACAAATTAATGTGAACCCATGAAAGTGATCGTTAAATTCAATGTACGGGTATACTTCTCCATAAATTAATCGTAGCTTAAGTAAATGATGTGTGGAATGGACTTGTGAATGTTTTAAATCAACTTTATCAGCATTATCATTAGCCGGTTTGGGTTCTTTATTGATCGAGTTGAGCAACAGAATGTTGACAAATAAATTGACAAATAATAAAGTCTGTTCAGAATACATGATTATGTTATTAATACTTTTCAGAATAGTGTGAATTTGGTTTGATTTGTATACAAATAAGTGATGGTTTGACCTAGTATGGATACATTTAATATAGCATAATCAATGTGAACTTAGAACAAGCCGTGGCAGACATACAATATACATACTATATATTCCTGCTAAGTTTGCCAATATAGTCGTGTCTGTTCAACAGCCTGTATTGGAATTGCAAAGAGTGTAAGAGCTAGAATCATTAAACCTGGTAGAATATGTTCTCCTAAATACGAAAAAGAGCAAGCTTATGCAATTTTTCGTTCCAACCTTTATTCACTCTCTCTCTCTCTCTCTGTCTCTCTCTCTCTGTCTCTCTCTCTCTGTCTCTCTCTCTCTGTCTCTCTCTCTCTCAGTATTATAATTACAATAATTTTGTTGTAACCCCGTTTAAAATTAATGCCGTCGGAAAATTAGATGAATATTTATATATGTACATATGTATGTATGTAGCATATGTTATTTGTATTTTATTAATTTTAGTTTTTAAAATGTAACAAATGATTTAGAAATAAAATTAAGCACACTTATAGCACGCGCGCCCGACACGTTTGAACGCTTTGCGGAGTTCAATTTAAATAATATAATGAACTGAATGACTAATGCTCATGTAGATTTTACTTTCATAAATTCAAATCGCGTATTGTCATTGACAGAAATACATATATATAATTTATATTTACAACTATAACTTCTTTTAATGTTGTGCTATTAAGACAAAAATTGGAACATGTATACCTAAGCTTTAAATCGTAAAAAACACACTCACCGGACAATATTTAAAATAAGTTTGTTGTCTGTAGAACGCATAATGCCACGAGTGGACGGACTTGTCTAGCACGACTTGACATGTCACTATCTTCTTTACAAAAATTGAAAGATTTTATATTAGTACGAACATTGTTGTTTGCTGATATTGAAATTAATCAACATACTCGTATGTATTTGCTGTTGTCCTGCTTGTTTGAATCATTTAGCTAGCAAAACCGTATTTGTTGTTATAGAAAATATTAAACATTCAAAGAAGATCGTAATTCCAGCAATGCCGAATTGATAACTAAGTAGTACTCCTATACTCTTCTAACAAGGCTGCGAAACCATAGCAGAGATTTCAATCTACAAACTAACAGCAATAGGAATTTGGAAAAAAACCATAAAATCTTCAACAAACTGGCACGTTTGTATTTCATCGGCATTTGATCGTGAGTAACATTTCTGCGCTAATCGCATATTTTATAATCAAAGTAAAAGAGCTCCAATCAGCAGTCACTTGAAACCTCCCCCGGAACTACATGCGAGTACGGGTATATGGTATATGGGCGATAATGTCGAGCCTTTAAAGCTCAATTAATCTCAATGAAATACGGTTAAAGTATAAAATTCGTTTTAGTATGTATGTATGTCATTGTATTTTTATTGTATTTTTTAAATGTATTATGTAACTAGGGTTTTATACTATAGATCTAATTGCCACTCATATTAGTTGATAATAAATGTAAGTATACGTATTTATAGTATATACGTATGTATGTATGCATGTACCTTTATTGAAAGCCTTTAAATATAATTAAGTAAGATATGAGTATGAATGCAATATGCAAGCACGTATGTATTTTATTCCATTTGACTTCTTGCCCAATTATATTGTATACGTTATGTACACAAGCTGATCTTCAGCTTGAGTTTATATTCGCAATTCGACGAGGTTAATGAACCACACAAATAGGGTTAAGAAGTTGTAACTTTCAAATGTAACAGCTTAAAAGCAGGAAGGCACTTTTTAGCTTTGACAGGGGATTCAAAAACGAAAAAGTTAGCATTTGATTGATTTTGTTTAACAAAGTTGAAATGCACTTGGGTTTTGAGCTATGGACTTTGTGCTGTGCAGTGTGTGTATGAATGGTCTCGAAATATTGTGTTTGTACAATTTGTAATTAACATCTAAATAGTATGGTGATGGGCAAGCGAGCAAATGGCTCTGTTTAGTAAATACTACTAGACTAATGTATTAGTTTCAAGGTTTCCAAATAATTTAAACCCAAACAAGTTTGCAAGTTCGCAACCACATCTAAATCACAGACTCCTAATATAAGAGAGATTTTATAAAATAATATTTGAAACAAATTTTTGTTTGTAAAAACTTGTCAATACGCTTAACTTAAAACGAAACTATAACTTAATTTAGAATAGTTTACACAATTTAGAAACTAATTAAGTCAACTGGCACTAAATTATAAACACAAAAAAATGAGAAAAAAATCTGATGATAATCAGAGTGTTGGACATGTGCAGTATGCTTTTGGGTTTGCGGTTGTGTGACTACATGATTGTGTGTGTGTGAGAGTGTGTGTGTGTAATTATCCTTTGCTAGATATTGTGAGCGCTGCTGTTAATAGCTATTGATATGCCGATCTGATAATGGCGCGCATGAGAACTAATTGCGAGCGATTACTCCTGTTGCTGTTTGGCATGACGATGCTTGTAAGGATGACTATGGTGGGGATGATGATGATGATGATGTCGGCTCGTGTGATGGTGTGTGCGATGGGGCTCCGCTTGATCGCCGCTGCTGCTATTGCTGGACTCTTCAGTGTCTACTGATTCGGATTCCGTTGCTGGGCTGTGATGATGACGCTTACGATGCTGATGAATATGTTCCCTCTCCTTACTCTCGTGCTCACTATTGTCTAGTAAATTATCAGCAGTTGGCGAACTTAGAGTGGTTGATTCGATATCAATGTACTGGTCGTTGATTTCTCGTTTTACATTTTCGGTTAGAACTCTATAGATTTCAGGGTTAGCATTATTATCCACAAAGGATCCAGCGCCACTGAAACGTATGTCTAGCCTTGGGCTTCTGCAATACAAACACAAGGGTTAATGTTTCAATATGTATACACAAGTATATTCCGAAGGAGCCTAAAAGTAGGCCATACTTTTTTCCATATACACACCTTGGCATGACGATTTTTTTATCATCAGGCATAAACGTTCCCGATCTGTAGAAGCCCCATGGGATTGCTGTACCTGTAAAATACATATACATGTGGCCATTAGACAAATAATATACTTCAATTGTTGCGGCATGCAAAACAAATGATGAAAGAGCAACAGAAACAAGAAAATAAACAAATAAAACGTTTCGAAATGCACATGAATTGGATACGGCTTTTGGCAACATGTGTGTATGTGGCGCATGCAAAATTAAAATTGTGCTACGTAATAAAAGTGCGACAGGGAAAAACGAAATGTTTTCAAAAACACATTGAGAAATTGCGCAATCTATCGATAATTACAAACACACAACGGTGCGTATGAGCAATAAGCGTAAGCAACAGCAACAGCATCAGCTTTTGTGTTAGCGCATGTTTTCATATTTTCATATTCTTACCCGTCCTTGTATTTGGCTAACTCAGAACTAATGTAAATGTCAATTGACCCTGCAACTCTGACCTTTTCTGTCTCTCCCACTGTTCAATAGCTCAATAAATACAAATCAAAAGTGACCCACCGCATAATCTAAGTCACAGACGCCAAATTATATTTGAAAAGAAAATGAAACTTTTCCGGTAATTATGTTTAAGTAGTGTAGTAGCTTGTAAAAATATTTCTACATTCTGTCGTTATAGCTGACGCTTGGCGCGAAAATCATTCGCTGTGCTGTGCAAAAACTTACAGACAGTCAATATTTTTCGTTTTTTTTTTTTTTTAGATTTTTGCCAGCCAACGCGTTTTGCGTGCAATCGTCAGCAGCGTCGTTGTCGTCTCGCTTGTGTCCGGCCCCCAAAAAAATCAATCGAGAACGGGGTGTGTTTGCCACATAACCGAATATTGAATATTGACCCCCGATTGTGCCTACATAATCGTATGTTAAATAGCAATGCCTGTTTTGTCATAATCAAGTCCAACGTTCGAAATGGTTGCAAACGTGCGAAACGAAGAATATATATCGTGTATATATAGTTTATTTATTTATTAAAGTGTACTAGAGAAAATGGCTGTGCTCAGTTCCCTACTCATTTAGATGATACTGAAAAGTGCCCAATGGCATATATATGTTTATATGATTCCGTAAATGTGTATATAGGAATATAATTTGTTTGTGTGTACTAGAGCGTTAGTTAAGCTTGGCAAACAACACGCTTACCTGCCTGCTCGCATTTCGGTGGCTGAAAGTATAGGCCTGGCTTCAGCGGATTCTCCTCATCGTCATGCACCTCGATCATCAGCAGGCCAATCACGAAGGGTGGCTGTGCGTGCTGGGGCTGTGATTGCTGTTGCTCCCAATACTGGATGGCGCACTTGATGTCGATTTCCACCCAGCCCGATTTACTGCTGCTCAGCATCATCGTATTGCAAATGCGCTTCTTGCGCTCTGTCGAAATACAAGATACAAATAATGTGTATTTTTAACAATTGATCTCTAGAATATGTCTAACTTTTTTGCTTTCCAAAACAAGTTAATTCACTTATTTATTTGTACATATTTGAAGAGCGGAACATTATCTTTTCAATGTGAGTTGTATGGATAATCAAAATATATAATTTTATTTTGATAATAGATAGATAGATAGTAATTATTTATTGAAAACATGTTCATCTAAGAATAATGTCTAATTATTTAAAATGCTTTCAAGCTGCTCGTTTCTGCCTTAATTGAAAACCTAATCTTCGATCTATGTTCAGATTCTTCAGTTTTCTGTTTACCAACCTTGCTTACGTTTCTTCTTCAGCTGAAGCACAACGGACACGGTGATGCGTATTTGCGATTCGAGCAAAGGACTTGCACAGCCTGTCGTTGGCTTGCTCGCACTCTCCTCGCTCGGCGGGCTTCCTGAGCTGCCTTTGGGATTCAGTTTGAAGAGCCGCAGCGTCGCGCTCTCCAAGGTCAGATTTGGGCTGCGACACTCGAACACACTGCTGCTAAACTCCAGCGTTACATTGTTCGAGTGCTGCCAGGCGCTTGTCTCGGCATTGCAGACAGGATAGCCGGCCACCTCATGGGATGTGGGCTTCTCCTCCTTGTCATCGGATTTGTTGGAGACGGCGTTCTCAATTTGGTTACGTATCTCGTTCAGGCTGAAATTCAAATTTGTAAAACACAATTGCTTGAAATGGGCTCATTTAAATGCATCACAGTTGCGACTAACTAATTTATAGTTTCAACATTTGTGTAAGTTGTTGGCACATGAAATGGCCACTTAATTGACATTTGACGTCGTAACTAGCCCAACAAAAGCAACAACCATGTCGTGCCGTGGGCTCAGCTTTATGGCGCTTTGATTCAATTTAATGCCACTCGTCTAGTTCTTTATCAAGTGATGCGTTAGAAGATTTTCGCAAAAATTGGGTTGAGTTTTATTTAACTTTCAACAACTACACTGCTAGTTGAACATTCAAATAAGTTCAGTAAATTTATTTCACTAAAAAACTCAAATATAACATGAAATACGAAAAATAAAGGTGCCTCAAGCGATGTACATTCTCGATTTAAGAACGCTCTGCACATGTATTAATTATAGAGACATTCTGGATTCCTATAATGATCGTGCAGTGATTTTATAGAGATTAGCTTTCTTTAATTTCATTTTATATGAAACAAAATACAATTTGTGTTCAGTTTTTTCTTCTTTCCTTGTAAATCTTCAATCTTTATTTAAGATCTCTTCTAGGTTGGACAATTAATAAATTGTATGTGCTTAGTGACACTTATAGTATAAGGTATAGGAACAGAAACCTTTTTAAAGTCGGGGCGAATCAGTGATATATCAATAATTAGGCATGAGATGTTTTCACGAATACCAGAATAATCTTGAAACATTTAGAAGACAAGAAAGCGTTATTTCTTTCAGCGTCTATATTTCAATAATCAATGACTGATTTTTACGAATAGAAGAATAATCTTGAAACATCTAGAAGACAAGAAAGCGTTATTTCTTTCAGCGTATATATTTCAATAATATATATTTCATTACTCAGCTCATGTCTGATTTCTAAGAGTACAAGAATAATCTTGAAACATCTAGAAGACAAGAAAGCGTTATTTCTTTCAGCGTATATACTTCAATAATCAGCTCATGCCTGATTTCTACGAATAGAAGAATAATCTTGAAACATCTAGAAGACAAGAAAGCGTTATTTCTTTCAGCGTCTATATTTCAATAATCAGCTCATGCCTGATTTCTACGAATAGAAGAATAATCTTGAAACATCTAGAAGACGAGAAAGCTTTATTTCTTTCAGCTTATATACTTCAATAATCAGCTCATGCCTGATTTCTACGAATACAAGAATAATCTTGAAACATCTAGAAGACAAGAAAGCGTTATTTCTTTCAGCGTCTATATTTCAATATTCAGCTCATGCCTGATTTCTACGAATAGAAGAATAATCTTGAAACATCTAGAAGACAAGAAAGCGTTATTTCTTTCAGCGTCTATATTTCAATAAGCAACTCATGCCTGATTTCTACGAATAGAAGAATAATCTTGAAAAATCTAGAAGACAAGAAAGCGTTATTTCTTTCAGCGTACGGTATCCATTGGAGGAGCATGTAGTTCATTGTCTGCTTTAATCAAGCGTGACATCCAACTATCTAAGTGTGGCATACTTACTACGAATATACATTTGTATATTGCAGCTAGTTTGAGTTTGACAATCAACCGAGGCACTGATTAGGCGCTTTCAAGAATAGCATTTCGTAGTTTTTTTTTAGTCTAGTACTTAAAGCATGTCACATGTCGCATAGGCAACATTAGTGTACATATGTACTTATGTGCTGTATAGCCTGGGATGTGACCAGCGCAAATGCGGTCCGTGTCACTTAAAAACCCATCGAGATACATGTACGATATATACGAGTATGTGTGTGTGTGTGTGCCGAATCATTGTCATAAATGAATGACAGGCGCAGACAACAATAGTTAACGTGTTCAGTTTGTAGCTATGATCTAATCTCGCCAGACACATATTAATGCTGAGAGACATAAGTACTCATATGTATGTATGTACATATGTATGTATGTACAATTTATTGTATTAAATCTGTCTGGATCGGTAATTGAGACACACGCGACGACTCGCACTCCAAGTTGCTAAAATTTTTGCGCATGCCCCAAAGACACCCAAACTCGAATAAAAACAAATTCCAAACAATACAAGACGAGATTAATTGTCGATCAGGCAGTATGTAAATAGAAACACAAATGCCAATACCGTCTGGCTTTAAGTCGTTAACGTTGTTGTTGTTGTTGTTATTGTTGTTGCTTTGTTTGTTGTTGTCATTGCTAATTGCACCTAGCGGCGCTTTTTGTCTAGCCAGCTCGAAATTCGGCGAACAAGCGAACATATTTTTGTGCAGCGCGCGCACTTATATTCCGAGATCGGGGTTTTTTAAAAAGACTGTTTATTTTTGTAGCGTTATGTGTTTTTTTGGGGGCGTGGCGTACGAAACTTTTGCATATACATATACATATATATGTACTTGTAGTTATGTCTGACTGATCAGTATGAAATTAAAAAGTAACCGAAGAAGAAATGTGCCAAGTTTTTGTTTTATTGAAGGCTAGAACAAATCTATACACTAAGTACGCGAATCTGTTAAACGAAATGGATACGGAATTGCTTTGTGAAGAGTAGAAAAGTTTTCTAAAAGACTAGCACACACTCCTTGAAAAAAGTCCTTAACACACATATTGATAATTACTCTTCACATCTACATTTGACTTAGAAATGTTTAATCCGCTGTAATTCAATTTAATTACATATTCTTCATTATCTTTACTGCAAAATGTTGCATCACACCTCATTTGTTTTGGTCATTCAGAGTCACTATGTATACGTGACCGACAAATGATGATGAAAAACTGTCACAGCCTTCCCAATACGCCATTTGGATCCAATATCTCTAAAAACAAACGCATTTGTTGACAATAATCATATCGTTGTTGTGTCGGTCTCGACATATTGTCTGTGCTCATCAAAATAAACGCTCGGTGCACAATTTCAGCGCGTTAGCCATAAAAGTTTTCGAGGAAGTATACAGAGGACGGGCAGTCGGAGAGACGGACATCAAATCTTACGATTAAATAGTCAGAGTCAGAATTACAAGAGACATTGCTATTTGAATGGAAATACTTCAGATATACTTGTATCAGAATTTTGGTAAAGTTAGTGTTTGTTATTTGTATTGTTTTTGAATGGATCTGGAAGTTATATCATTCCATTTCCCAAAGCAAATACCAAGTATTATTTCATTTGGGCTCCTTTGGACAATTTGATATGCCTGTGAAAGGGATTCTACGGTTATCAAATGAGGGTATTGTATGGGCTTGTGTGTCTGGTTACAACTTCGAAAAGTCTGTGTCTGCCACTGGTGCCGTGTCGTGAACTTGAAAACTCGTTGCTAGCTACCGATTGTGTGACTTCTGAGTTGTCTGTCTGGGGCCTGTCTAGACGCTTATGTTCACGGCTGTGCGCGTATGTGTGCGATTCTGTGTGTGTGTGTAATGCTTCTTTTTTTTCCTTTTACATGTTTTTTTTCTTCTTTTTTTTTTCTTGACATTCTCCTGAGCTGCACGGCTGGGCAGCCGCAGCGAGTCTTAGTTGCAGTTGCAGTTGCATACGATTTGGTATTTTTCCATTTATTTTTTGCCATTTCCTACGCACCGTGGCCAAAAGAACCAGCCGGCCGCCGGCGAGCATTCGTGAGTCACGTTGTTGTTTGTTTGTTTGTTTGTCTCGTGCCAGCAGCTGGTGAGCATGCGCAAAAGGTCAAGCGACAAGAAGTAATGAAATTTTGATTAAGATCTAACTCTATTTGGCCAGCATTTAAATTGGGCGTTTACTCAGCCAATTGGTTTTATCTGTGTTACACGGCTTCTTTAGCATAGCCGTCAATACTAGTGAGTGTAGTGTGTGTGTGTGTGTGTGTGTGTGCGTTTGTGTGTGTCTGCTGCTGCTTCTGTCTGCTTCTGAGCTGGTTGCCACTGCTGCTTTTGTGGTTTTGCAGTCAGTTGCCTTTTGGCTCTTTGGCTTTAGCAGCACAGCATGCGTCTTGTTGCCTATATCTGCCCGTCAGCCCGCCTGTCGTCTGCGTATCTGTCTGCGTGCTCAGTGCAGTCTCTGTCTTTCTGGCACTCGGCCCCTGCAGTCTCTGTCGTCTCTGCATATACAATGCGCGGCTAGACAGTGTCTCGCCGGCTGCACTTCATTATCATGCGAACAGTAGTCAGTCAGTCAGTCAGTCAGTGAACGAGTCCGGCCGCGCCACTCAGACACAGAGTCGTTTAGTAGCCACAAACATACTCCTACATCTGTTTGTACTCTCACAAACACACACACACACACGGATTTGTATGTAAATATATACCCAGTATGTATGTACAAACATGCCGCTTGGGCAAACATAACCACGACTGATGGCAATAACATATGATTTACAAGACTGTATCGTGTGCGTGTGCGTGTGTGTATGAATCTGTGCTCGATATTACTCATACGTCATAATTATTAATGTGTTTACACATACATATGTATGTATGTATATTTATATGTATTTGTAGTACTTATGCTTGTACAAGCAAGAACTTTCCTGGGACACTATGTTCAACAAGATGAAACAATTTCGATATAGCCGTAAATAAAGCGCATACGACATAAATCAAAAGAAACACAAAAAAATAAATAAATAAGAAAGAATAACTATAGTTGGCCATATCTGGCTATCCATATATTTTATAGTCTTTTAGTTGTTTTGTTTTTTTTTGTCATATCATTGCGGCATTTGTTATTGTTATTACACATGAAAACAAATGGTAATAGTATATACTACTACTACTACTACTACTTGATTGTCGTGCATAGCAACGACCTACAAAAAGTTCATTAACGGAGCCGCTAGACATGGCCCAGACTGTTCCCAGACATTTTCCAGACTGATGTCGGACACACAGACATACAAAGACAAACAGTGGGGCCGACGGAATTCGTTGCAATTGCAGCAGCATTTTTATGTCTGTATGTGTGCGTGTGTGTGTGTGGCTGTGTCTGTATTATGTATCTGTGTATGCGCGACTGAATGTTTTGTGCAGCGCCAGTTTTGCTTATATATGTAAGTGTGTATATATAATATCTGATAGGCACACAAAGACGCTGCTCCACCATCGCCCAACAGGCCCGTCAGTTTGTCTGCTGCTGAGCCATCGATGCCGCTCCCCGAAGAAGCCAAGTTAAGTTAAGTGAGCCGTGCTATGAGCCGTGAATCTAAACAATTTTCGAGTCACTTTGAACTCTAAGGTGCTGGCAATGCACACACACACACACACCGGCATCGGCAGGTGCTTGATTGCCGATAAAGCTATCTACAGTTTATTTCGGAATAGTTTTTGATTATTGATGCCAAGCTGATCGGTAGATGACTTGCTGGTTGATAAAATGTTTGAGTCATTTTTGGCAATTAATCAACAACGATCAAATATGGGTCATGATTTCAAATGGACACATATTTTTGTGTAAATAAAATCTGTATTCAATTCACATAATAATTTTAGCTTGAAATAATAATATTGAAAACGAAAATAAAAATATTATGAATTATTAGATAATGCGCTCTCCTTACTAATAATTTTGTAATAATTCTTACTTTGATGCATGCAACACGTGCTAGCTGCCCGATTTCCATGTGGTTGTTTATTTGAAATATACATACGTATTTGAAAAATATTTGATTGTTCTGAACAATACCGAACGAATCGAAACGGAACGCATAGATATATAGAAATGTACGAGTATATTAGTCTCGGGTGTTTGGCCACATTTTTGAAATGCATACAAAGTGTTAGCCTTGAAAAGCTATAGAGAATGCTTGATTTGATTTTGTTTTTGGACTAAAACCCATACAGCGCAAATCTGCGGGCATGCGAAATTCTGTTTATATCGCAGTACACAAGTACACAAGTCATTTATTAGCCTTCAAACAGGCTGTGAAGTGCAGTATTGGCTCTTTTGCTTTTATCTGGAAAAGATTCCACTTCACTTTGTTTATATATGCATATATAGTATATATACATACATATATATGTATGTACATACAAATACAAATGTGTAGTGTATCTATTTTATTTTGCGAATTTGCAACGGCTTTTCTGTACTTTGTGTGATCTCTCTCTTAGCGGTCACTGGTCACTGATTTTTTGGGGCGCACATTTTTATAGAGCGTTTATTTTTAGTGCAGCGCCTTCTATTTACGATGATTGGCAGTTGCTTGGCACAGTGCAAACACATTTTTTTTTTCTGTGTCGTGGACAAGCGAAAAGACTGTCAGCGGCTCGACATGATGGGCAATGGAAATATTTAGAGAATGGCACTGAGACAGAGATAGAGGCAGAGGCAGACACAGAGACGCGTGCTACTCACCGTTGGGAGCGAATATGATTCAGCAGCTGATTGTTGATGGCCTGTGTGGTCTCCTCCTTGCCACTGACATTGCTGCCGGCTCTGATGCGGCTCACCTGTGCCTCCGTCAGATTGAACATGGTCCAGATGGTGCGGTTGTTGGGGTCAATGTATTCAGAGCGAACATTGTCCAGCAGGGCTGAGCGATTGATGCGAGCGCCATCGCCTCCATCAACCAACCACAGCAGCAGGAGACTAAGCAGAAGCAAAAGATTCGCTCGGCCGTAGCTCGTCCAGCTCGCACTTGACATTTTTCAAAAGTTTATTTTCTGATTGCAATTCTAATTACAATTACAAGTGTCTACTATATTCGACTCGTTTTTCTTCAATAACGTGCAATATAGCTCTAGTAGGCAATATTCACAGGTTTGAACATTTTCATTAAATGTAAACTTTTTTAACCCACAATTTATTGTTTTTAATGTTTTGAATGTTTTTTTTTTTATGACCGCTTATACGAAAACACACACGGTCAAATGTTTTTGAATTGCAATTTTTTGCTTGGCTAACTTGAAAAGATTCGGTATATTTTCAAAAATCGCTGCCGAATGAATTTTTATCTGTGCATTTTTCTGTTCTTTTTTGACTGGTCGATGTGTTCACTCTAAGAACCAAGTATGAAGTGATTTGCGCGAGTCGTTTTTAAGTCTTAAATAAGAAAATATTTGGTTGTGGCTGCCATATCTACTTTGTTATGTTCGTAAACACTGCGTTGTGCACTGAACGAAATTTGGAGCTGCAACCGGTTGAACGGCAAAGTGCAGGATATTTTTTATTATATGTACGAGTATGTATAGTACTTGTATGAATATTTAATTTTCGTTGATCGGTTTATACGTTGTTGTCCAATTTGGTAAGATATAGCAAGGAATTACAGTTACAGTTACTTCCATAAAATGCTTACACAATATATATTCTCGGACAAAGATCACAATTTCACATTTTATTTGAAGAACTAAAATAAAAGCAGACTTTTGGAACGCTCACCGAAATTAAGGGCTTAAGCTAAGGGTTTGATTTGAAAGTTTATAAAAAGAAGGAAAAAACATATCTTTGTATATTCATTGGCATTATTTTCTAACGATACATATACTATACATATTCACTTTATTGCATTTCACAATGTAATACATTATTTATCATCTTTCTTATGACCTGAAGGGTATGCATTCAAAAATATTTATTCTATTTATTTATTTGTATCTATTTATTTCATCGACTAACAAAGCTGTCGATCTTTACAATAAATATTCAACTCCATAAAACTAAGGAATAAAAGAGCCTATAGAAAGTATAAAAATATCTAATAACGAATATTTGCCAAACGTCCAGCTATGCCCCGATTCACCGCAAAGGGTAGCCAGAGACGTTATTAGACCTAGAAAAAAAAAGTAATTAAGATGAAGTAATGGCAATACAAATAAAGAAGTAACCTATTATTCAAATAACAAATTAAAATTAAAAAACTTAAATAATAAAAGACACAATATAATTTAAAGGTAAAGGTAAAGAATCACTGAGCCATGGGGGGAAGCTATGCCCCTACTCTCAACAGTGAATAATTGTTTAATATTTATTAGGCACTAAATGGTACTAAACATTCACAAAAGGCAGTAGAGGTTATTGTTTGTAACGCGATTCGATATTTCTTTTTCTTTGCAACACTAACAATCTCTTAATTGTAGTCATTTATTTATGCATATGTGAAAGCAGGTACACGCACATTGTTCTCAGTGTACTGAGACCGCTTCGGCCGATAGTTCGGTTTTTGTCTTGTTGTCGTTGCTAGCTTCGTCGTCGTGCCGTCGTCGACCAATCAACGACGCTGTCACTGCTCGCTGTTGGTACGCATAGGAAGCTCGTTTCTTTTATGGAGTCCACAAGTCGGGCGGGCAGGAAGGCAGGCAGGCAGGCAGTCGGGCGGGCAGGCGGGCAGGCAGGCAGGAGGGCAGTCAGCCAGGCAGGCAACAGCGAGCCAGCTAGCCAGCGCCAACTGCAAAAGAAAGTGATATTCATGGCGAGGACGCTGGAGGAAGAGGAGCGAAAAGAAGAGAAGAGAAGGGAAGGGAAGGGAAGAGAGAAGGAGACGCTGGCTCGCAAAATGATTTTGTTATTACTAACATGCCTCTTTCCCTTAATTAGCTCTGCCGGCCGTCCAAGTCCTGAGCACGCGTTCTCTTAGATAATACTATAATGACAGCTTGTGATTGCTTTAGATTAGCTCATTGTTTTATTTTGATGAATTTTTTGAACATGTATGTATGTATTGCTAAATAGAATTATCAATAATTCAGCGAGACAGTGGAATTTATCAATTGAAAGAGAGTGGAGTTTGGAACAACTATCTTACAGTTGCAACCGATCATGATAATGATAATGCTCACAACTACTTCCAGAATCATGCGTTCGCTGATGACGTATTGTAGTTAGTTAGTGTTACTATCTTGCCTTTAATAAAACTGTTTTGATACTCAAGACGCCTCTGTTATCAAATCATAAGTCCCAAATTAGATGCACAAATTGTATTGTACGCATGTGACTATGCTTTAATCTACTGATGTTTTCATAGTTTTATACAAATTTGTTTCTTTTGATTTTTATCGCAGTTGTTGTTGCTGTTGTTGCGACAATTGTTGGTGTATTGTGGCACTTAATTTAGTCGCTGCTTGGAACATGTAAGCAAATGTTTGGTTCTCAGGATTGGTTTTCGGAATTGTTGTCTACTTGTAGTTTACTGGCTCTTGAGCGATATAGTATAGTATATGGATATATGCGTAATGATTGATAAAAAGTGCGTAGTTAGAAAATTGCACATTGTTTGCTTTGCATAAAATAGGCCTAATAGGAATTCATGCTTTCAAAGAAAATAGGCGGATATAACTTATTATGGGACAAATATAGTTGGTGCCTGGTACGGTACGGCTTTTGTTAACCCCAGAAAGATCATAGATTTTTTCCGTTTTTGCTACGTAATTTCACTTTCACTTTCACAGCTCGAAAATTTTAATCGCAACTGTTGTGGCTCCAGAAAACAAATACTATGTTGCATAATTGTTGTGCCTAAATACGTAACCATTTTATTCAATTTGCATACGGAAATCAACATTGAGTTCTCAAGGACGCTGCTGTCGCCGCATCTGATTTATTTATTTACGTTTTCTTCTTGTTGTTGCTTTTGTTGTTAATTCTAAAATAAAGCACACACGCTTCTCATTTCATCAACATCATCATCATCATCCGCATCAAAATCTGGATGTTATTCCCTCTTTTTTTTTCTAATTTTTTAAGCGTCTGGACCAAATTGAATTTCAAAAAAATGATTGTATAATTTGAAGCACTTTATGAAGTCTGGTTTTCTCACCATATGACTGTCTGTCTGGGGATCTATCTGTTGATATATGTATATTATATGTCTACACATCGTTTAACTGTGTACGTGAGTCGCAAGTAATACAACACCACAGAGTGGTCTTGGGGTGGGTGTGGAGGCGCGGGGAGAAGGGGGGGGGGTGTTGTGGATTTAGAGCAGTTGCTGTTGCCGTGAAAAGTTGCAACCGCATCAAATGCTCAGCTTCAGTTTAATCTTCTGCTATAGCTCACAATTGGAACAGTCGTCGAAAAAAGCGGAATGAGCTTTTTTAATCGAAATCATCTAAAAAAGGAAGAAAACTTTTTTGCGCGGCAAACGCGACATTCGCGAGACGTTTATATAATACTGTTTATTTATTGTACATATTTTTGTTATTTCTTCTTTCTGTATGTACATATGTGTGTGTTGTTGTTGTTGTTGTTTTTTTTTTTTGGCCAATCTGCATAACATTTGCCCCACTTTGTGTGAGAACGTGCATACATATATAGAGGAAGCAGAAAAAATAAATAAAATCAAATAAACAGACACTCAGACAGACAGTGGGACAGACAGACAGTCAGAGTCAGACACTCAGTCCTCCAAAGTTATGCAGACAATTGAAATTCGGCGTGAGTCAAACCGCATAACTTGTTGGCGAAAATCATTTTCGATTTGTCATTATTATTTTCAAGGTTGTTCTAGTGCCAGAATAATTGGCAGTTAGTTTTCTTTGATCTCCTAAAGAAAGTGAAACTTGGGAAAAACAGTAGCTACTTGCTTTTAGTATATATGTATGTAGGTATGTATGGCATGTGTACAGATGTTGGCATGTTAAAGTGGATGTGACACTTATTCTTATAAACAATACGTCTGTTTTTAGCGGCTTGACAAACCTAAATTGCTCACGCTCGTGCCAGTTAGGAATTAATTTTATTTTAAAATACGCTGGCAGCAATTGCTTTAAATTTATTTTAAGAAAAATTGAACAGCAAGTTAACATCTGCGTGCCGACACGTGCGTTCGTCTCCTACCTGTCGAAATAGTTTTAAGACTTGCTGGGCTCATACAAGTAGCTGTGTTGAAGGAAGGCATTGCTCATTATCATCGTTCTTGGTATAGTTATGGAAAGCAATTAAATGGGGAAGCAAACAAAAACAAAACAAAATAATGGCCGATAAGAGGGAACACAGCTTTAAACATTTAAACATTTATTGCCAACTATCAGAGATTATTTCCAAATGCGATAGATTGCTTTTGATACACAAATTAGTTCTTTACGATCGAACCATATAGCTGTTTATTTGCTATTTATAGATTTGTTATCTAGATCATGCTTATAATATTACATCATGATTTAAACGGGAGTACTTATAAACCAAAGGTTAGATGTTGCTTTAATAGCCTGACCAACCGCAATTCAACGCAATCATTTTTATCAACGACCCGACTACTTGGAATGTAGTTATTCAAATAATCAAAAGAATGATTATATTTGTAATTGAAATAACAATGAATTATTTTTTAAATCAATTACACAACTATTTGAAATAAGTTTGTGAAGTCAATGTACAATGACAACAGAAATGATGCTAAAACCAAAGGATAATAAATTAATTAAAATTCACAAGAAACACCCTAAAAATGCTAGATAATTTATATTTTTTGTCGATAACTGTACCAACGTTTCCATAGGTACTGAAACTTATAAGAGTTGCTAGAAGTTCAAACACGCTTAAATACAAAAATATTTTGCTAGCAAGCCTATTTCATTTTTAATTGATTTGTATTATATCAATAATTATGCTATCAGCATTTGCTTGAAATCAAATAAGATAAACATGTCTTAACCGGATTGTTCGAGCACAGAAACAGGTGCCGTTCATGATATCTCAACTTTACAGTTTGTTTATATAGAATATTAATTGTTCGTTGCATTAGAAAAGAAAGTTTTGCATGCAATGATGCCACATATACAGCATAGGTTGAAACCAATTCCTCTTATCTTATCTTATTTATAGTATATCTATTTATCTGGGT